ATAACATTTTACAAAGATTAATTTCAAATAATTTATAATCATAATAAAATTGTAAATGTAAAAAAAATTATTTTCTCCATCTCATCATTTGCTAAAAAAAAATGGTATTCCCAAAAAGCTTTCATATCTTGTTCTTGATCATCTTATCCTGCACGAATCTCGTCATATTTTGCAGCTTTAGTCAGTAAATATACACTTCTAACATCATCTGAATTTTTATTTTAATAAGAATATTTATGAGTAATAAATAGCAATATACATGACCTTACTGATCTACATGGTACCGTTAAGAATCATTGAGCGTATCAGGGGCTAATCTACTGTCTTAAAGTCGTTATGGCAAAATTATCCTGCAGAATTTTTTACCTTTTTAAGATTCATAAACAATTAAATCAAAGCTTTGTTTTAATAAGAATTTGAAAATATGTTGGAATGAACTTCAAAAAATTTTACATTTTTTTAATTATGCTAAATTTATATTTGCAATTATATTCTCCTTGTGGCATCATTGTTTTGTCTTATTGTCAGTTATTTCGCAAATTGTGATAGGACGAACAACTTCATACATCATTACATTACCCTATCTTAAAACATCTTGATAAATTTTGAAATCATTTATTATTTTATATTTTAATAATATTTTAAAAAAAAATATAATTTTTATATTAAAATTATCTGTATCTTTTAGAATTGCAAAATTGATTAAGATACAGATGTTTTTTTTAAATGGACACAAGATCGTTAATGATGGTTATTTTAAATCAGATTTTCTATTTACCCCTTTCCCCCTTCCCTTCCCGCCAGAAAACAGGAAAGTTAATTATTTTCTTTTTTATGTATAAATATAACAAATTGATTGGTCAAATCCTAAATCCATCCCAGATGAAATCCTTAAAAATTTTACTCATTTACAGAAAATAGATGTGGGGGGGGGGGTTTATTTTTTTACCGGAAGTGAATAAAATCTATACAAAAAATTTTTGATATAAAAATCAATATTAAATTAAATTCAAGAGTTTCCAAGAAAATATTCTGAAACTGAATTACATATATTTATACATGTATATTATAAAATGTCAATCAAAAAGAATATATTTTATTATTAGTTATTTCTCGAGAATTGATATTCAATTACTTTGTATTTTTTTTTTACTTTTAACTTTTGACTTTTTATAATTTTTTTGATATTGAAATTTTAATAAAAACTATATCTAACAAAATAGCTACCGCTACTGAAAAAAATAGCACACTCCTAAAATTGGATAAAAGTAGCTGGCTCAGAGGAAGAATGTGTTTAAGTAATTCTTATAATAAAATTGTTATTGCGAGCTTTTCCTTATATCTCAGAAACTTTAAAAAAACTATCCCATCATATCGTATATTAAAGTTAGATATTGCTTTTTAAGTTTATTTATCGTTAAATATTAAAATATTATATATTTCAGCATTTTTTTTTTACCAGTCACTCTAATTTCTTGATCACTACTAGCTTGAACTTGTCTAAATATATCTAGGAGAAAATTATATTAATTAAAAAAAAAAATATGATATAAATATTGGTTATGTTATGTCTTATGATGCCAAAGTTGATATGATTAAATGCTAACTCAGGAAATAATTAGGTAAGTTCTAAATATTTTGCTAATAGATTACCTACAGGTCTGGACATCAATTAACGGAATTCCCAAGGTTTAGGCAATATTTTTTCTGGCTCAAATACTGAGGTGGCCGTTTTTAAAATTCGGCTCAAATCGAAATATTTAACAAACACTATAATCAACTAGTGAATAGCAGATTATTAACATAATCAATTGATTAGATTTATATAAACATACTTTCAGGTATTCTGCTTTGAATTACTGCTAAGCAAATGAAGGCTAAAATGATGAATATCTGTTTTTATATTAAAATTATATTAAGCATAATATAAACTATTTTTTTTAAAATACACCTACCCTTAATAAATAAGAATTAATTTGTAACATTTTTTATAAGTGTTTTAATTTTATTAGTGTTTTAAATAAAAAATTTTTAATAAACATATATATTTAATTATAAAAATAAAATAAATTTATTATTTAATACCAATTAGTGTATATTTTAGTATTAATTATTTTGTTATTTATTTGTGTCATTTCCTGTCATAAAATCGATAAATATTATTTTTTATTTTTGAATACACATGTATTTGATCTTTGATAATTTATAAATTCTTAACCATAACAAAATAGATATAAGTATAATATAACAAATATTTCTAATATGAATAAAAGTTTTAATTAATTCTTTCTTTCTTTCTCTTTCTCTTTCTTTTCTTTTCTTTTCTTTTCTTTTCTTTTCTTTTCTTTTCTTTTCTTTTCTTTTCTTTTCTTTTCTTTTCTTTTCTTTTCTTTTCTTTTCTTTTCTTTTCTTTTCTTTTCTTTTCTTTTCTTTTCTTTTCTTTTCTTTTCTTTTCTTTTCTTTTCTTTTCTTTTCTTTTCTTTTCTTTTCTTTTCTTTTCTTTTTTTTTCTTTTCTTTTCTTTATTCCCAACGCCTCCTTGATATGGGTGATAGATACCTATTCAAATTTTATTTTCGCCTTTAATCCCGGACAAGAGTTGATTAAATATATTCACTGATCATTTTGTCCTTATCACGGTTAAAATCTGAATATATCGTTTTGATGGTAGATGTTAAAAATAAAAATTCTTAATTAATTTTAAGCCCACTAGTCTGGCTTTGCCATTTTGAAAAATTTTTTAACCAGCAAAGAATCGTCATTCTGCGAAATTCGGAAACCAAAAAATTTTCTCCCAGAAAATTGGACTTCGAAAATTGATCCCGCTAAAATTGTCAACTAGTAAAGATTTGAACACCGCAAGGGTGTTCTAAATTTATCTTGTGATTAATATCTAAAAATTAAAATATGGCACAAAGTACTGACTTTATAAGGTATAGTGTTCGAGAACATTCGTATCTACACAACATTAAAAATAAACTTATTTTTATTTACTGATAAGCATTCCCATATATTTCCTACAGAAAAATAATATAAAATTTTTGAAATACGATTAATGTCGCTCACATTCTGTTCGCACGAATTATACCTAAAACAAATTATTCGTTATTTAATTCGATTAGTATTTACACAATTCGAATCGAATAAGAAAAATATATTATTAGTCGAATAGTTATTTTCAAAATCGAAATTTTGTGTAATAATTATTTAAAATTATTCCTATTTAATAAAAAAATTTCCTAATGGAAGAAGACACATCCTAAATTTTTAAAATTGTCAAGTAATTGTTTTATGGATGAACCAAGTTTATATTTAAATATGCGATTTTTAACACACACATATATAAGGTTCTTTATTTTACCTAAATTACAATAATTATCTTAAACTTAATATCAAGTTTAATTTATTATACATAATTTTTCTGACATGATGATTGATCTGATGATTTTGAAACAGATTTTAATGGCTAGCTATGTTTTCCCCAATCTTAAAAATCTAATTAAGCGTTTTCTATTGCTCTTTGGCCATCGCCACACATTTTATAATGATCAATATTTGATTTATTTAAATAAATGTACCCATTGTATATAATAGATACTTCTGAATCAGAAAAGCATTTCCCATCTAATTCTATACAGTCGGGAGAAGGACGAAAAAATGCGGATATATGGAAACATATTTGCCAAGAATCAACAGAAACTGCTAGATGTAACATTTGCAGGGTTTAAGAAGTAACTAAATCAATGATTCCATTTAAAAAAAACTCCAGAATTTCTAAGTAATAAATCATGTAAAACAATAATATTAAATCTAACATTATTTATTAAAATTTTTTGATGAAATTTGATATCAAATTAAAAAATTAATTGTAACAAATGAATTTAAATGTTTTGTTATAGCATTAGCATTAGGGACATAGGAATTATAATCATTTTTAATTTATAGAAACAAGTTTAACTAGCGATGATAGTCATTTATAAATTATTTATCTTATACAAGGTTTATATATATTGTTATAGGGGGGTTATTAAAATTAGGATAATCTAAAATTATTAGGAGAAGAAAAGAATAACGTGTTTTAAAATTTTATTATTGAAACAATTTGCAATTATTTTCTAAAATATACACAAATTATTTAACGCCATCTATATGCATATAGTTATAGATAATAATAAATAATTTATATAAAATTAATAGATGTTCCTAAAATGGCACCTTTATGAATTCGCCTCTATTTTCCGCAAGAAATTCTTTATAAGGGTTTTCGCCTAACCCTATGAACTATTTGACAAGACCCGTAAATCACAGACAGAGCTGATGTAGAGTATTATATTGTTCTATCTATATTTATAATAGCCTAAAAAGGGCTGAGAAATTAAACGAGTTAATTAAAATCTTATTTTATAAAAAAAAATTTCTTTACAATTTCTTATTAAAAACTTAAGTATTAAAATTATTATTATTATGAAAATTATAAACCTTAGAACCCAAACGTGGTTTTGATTAATTGAATGACATTATTCAGTGTCCCCTACATTTTCTGAGCGAATGAAGCAGAATACCCCCCCCCCCCCCCTGAAAAGTACCCCCTTGAAAAGTACCCCCTCCCCTTTTATGACACCCATAAATAAAAAATAATTTTTATTGCATCAATTTTTAATATATATAAATAAAATTCAAAAAAAATATACTTTATAAATATTATTTTTAAAATAATAATTTACATAAATTAGGGGAAGAGAAAGCGTAAAATTTTATAACTTTATCAATATTTAATTGTTGAAATAAATTTTTTTCCATTGACAATATGGTTAAATTATTGAGAAATGAATCTTTCATGGTACTACGAAGTGTTGTTTTAATTAATTTAATTTTACTCATGACTCTTTCGGCAGTACATGAGGTTGTAGGAATGGTTAATAAATATTTATATAAAATTGTTAAATTAGGAAAGCAGAAAATTTTAAAAGTAGACTACAAGGTAAAATAAATGAATAGTTTTTCCAATCTGAATCGTAAGTCCCTGAATTATCATCATCATCAGAAGAAGCTAAATAATGTATTGGTAAAAATATTTTAATAAAATAAATTTACAATTTTCGAGTAATAATTACATTCCTCATTTTGGCCATTTTATAAATATTTCTAGACTTCAACATTTCTTCGAAAATTTGACTTGAATTTAAATTATAAAATTCACAGATATCCTCGATATCTTCTTTAATAATTAATTTTTCTGCCACATTATTTGGCGTAAAAAATGATGTTTGATGTAAAAATTTCATCGAATCATCATTAAATCTTTCGTTAAACTGCATAATAATTAAATCGAGTGCAGCATAAAACACATCTATTTTAATGATGAAAGTATATATACCTCTCCATTTTGGATTGTAATGTTTGAAGTCTAGAACTTTCAAAATCAAAAGGTAGATTTGTCTCCTTCATAAAATCTTGTGCCTTTGAACAAAAATTCAGTGTTATTATCTATTAGATTAAAAAATAATTAAGACAATAATTTATATTATACTTCTCAAATTAATCAAGCAATCTTTTGCCAATTGAATTTGATTTATTGCAAACCCTATATCCTTCGAAATCGTTTGCAATTTTGTACAAGCCAAACTTGTTATCAACAATATTTTATCCAAAACACTAAGTGATAAGATATAAAATCAAATTTTTTTATTCTAAAGACTATAGCACTATCCATAGTGGAAGTGACAGGATCTTCAGAATCCTTTAAATTTGTTAAAGCTGCCCTCAAGGCATCATAAAGTAGAAAAGAATTAACAATAACTTTATATGACGATAGCCAGCTTTTAAATAAAAAAACATTTTAAATATAAATAAATAAGGTACTATTACCGTACCGAGTAGTATTCTTGTTGCGTAGAAATCGTTGCGATTTTTTCAGATTATTACACTGACATTTTTTGAGCACCTCACATCTTTTTACACCATTAAAATAGATATAAATCTCATCTAGTATTCCTAGAACATTTCGAAGTTCTTTAATTGATTGGCATAATTGAACAACGATTAAATTTTATCGATGACAATAACACCAAATAAAAGCTGCCTTTGGCGCCTCTGCTCTAATTAAGGCCTGCACACCATTGATTCTTCCACTCATGTCTGAGGCGCCATCATAACTTTGCCCAACTAGGAATTCATGGGGTAAATTTATCGAGCCAAGTTTGGATATTATATTATGCTTAATATCGAGACCTGTGGTATTTCCCGTACAATATATGTCAATCAATCTTTCAACAGGCTTTGGCGTCTCACTATTTTCAACATATCTTACTGTCAAAGCTATTGCTTCTGATTTCGAAACATCATATGAGCCATCAACTAAGATTGAAAAGCACCTGTTAAATTTAATCTCATTTTTTATTTTTTTTTATAACCATATTTTTCATGGTTTAATGAGAATAAATATAAAAACGCTAAAAATATTATCTAACAATCTTGTTGATTTATCATCCTTTTATTATTCTAACATCCAAATTTGATCAATTCTTTAATTATTCATATATTCTGAAATCATATTTAATAATGATAATTTTACAATTGGTGATAATAACAATTTTGTAAAATTGACAATGATATTTTCGCGAAATTATAATGATTAGTAAGTTTTAATTACCAACACTTATGTATTAATTAGAATTTCCCTTATTTTCGCTAATTTTTTAAATAAACTTTCCTCTCTTTTCTTTTATACAAGTTTCATCAAGTTGTAAAGGCTATATTCCATTGTTCCCGAATAAGATTTTTGTTAAATTCACAATTGTGGCGCGTTATGAATAGAATGTGTGAGAAATGATGTCTTGTCAGTTCAAATCTCATTGACTTTTATAAGATTTAAACTTAGCATAAAAATCATAAAATGAAACATGAGATATTGGCAGATTTTAAAGATGCCTTATTTATTAAGATTAATCCAATATTTATTGAATTTATTCAGATTTGAATGAAAAGTGACCAAAAATAATATTACAAAAAAAAAATTTTATGTTAGAAAAGCACAAGAAAGATCTAGAATTTTTTTAAAAATTCTTAATTAAGATTCTGTTTTGATCGCTAAAAGATTTAATAAATAAATTTCAAATTTAGATTATAATTCAATAATAGATTCATTTAGAATAATTTTTAATAGATATACTTTCAGTTGCCCTGCATTGTGTTATAGAAGAGGAAATGAATGCGAAAGCAATTAGTATCTGAATTGTCATTATGAATAATAATATTTATAAAACATTTATGTAATTCAAATTTTTTTTTTTTAAAATATAACACATACCCATATGAATAGTGAATTAATTTGTAACATTTTTATAAGTTATTAATAAGTTAAACCAGTAAAGTATATCAAATGTAACGAAATAATTATTTTTGTAACTAAAATTTTCCAAAATATTTTGCTCTTTTTAAGTAGTTTCTAATGTCCTTGACTGTCAGAAAATTGCTTTAATTTTCATCATCTTTTGTTTTGAATAATTGTATTGAAGTCAATGTTTTCTCCAAATAATATGGTATTTCTACATTTTTAGATAAATATTTTTTTAAAAATTGATAATTTATATAAATTTTTAGCCAAAAAGTGATTATAAATTATAATCAAATTAATTTTTACTAAATTGTCTAGATTTTAAGCCAATAAACGCTTTCTTACTTATAATAATAGTATGCCCTGTCCAAACAAAAAAAATTCAGCAAGGTCCTTGAATTATATTTATTCAATAAAAAATACAATTTGTTTAATTTCATTTTTGTTATATTATTTTTACCTACAATATTATGCATATACCTTAATGTAATTAGTAAAATTTAATTAATCTTTAACTCTTATAATTTTATGATTGTTATTAATTTTTATACTATTTAGTATTTTACAAAATATTATATGTAAATTATTTAAACCATTTTTCAATTGTAGTGTAAATAAATATGAAAAGTGAATAAGATATATCAAGAGTTAGATGCATTCTCTTCTAAAATGGAGACAAGTTGAAAATCTATACTAGAAGCTAAATGAGAATATGTAATGTAACGGCGAAGTAGCTATGTTTTTGTGTGAAGTGAATAATATTGGTAAATAAACCTTTCAAAGGATCGAGGCTTTAGGGAATTCAACATAATGGGGAGATTCTTTTTACCCCAAAAATTTATATTATGATGATATTTCAAAAAAAAAATTAAAAAAATGTCTGATATTTTGGATATTTAATTTTCTAACTTCATTTAATGAATCATAGATTATTTAAAATTTTTTATTATCTTATCAGATAAGTGTAAATAAATTCATATTATAAGTATTACTATATTTATTTATGTCCAATGCTTTTTTATCTCCACCAATGTGTTATTTAAAAAAAAATCTATATAAAGCGTGTTTTTTTAATATATTTATAACAATATCATTTTGTCGAAAATTTTATTAAAACATGTTTAAACCTGCTCCATCAATTTTTTACACAATTTCGCCATTAATTTTTGAAAAAATTCTGTCAATAAAAGATATAAAATATTACTTTCAAAGGGTTCATGGTAAAATTACAAAAAAAAAATCACAAAATGACTGAAGAATATGAATGATAGAATAATATATTATTAAATAAAATTCTAAATCGTGACTATTTTAAGTAGTCTGGCTTGGAGATAGGAAGACTTCGATAAAATTATCTCAGAATTCTTATTATTTATATAAAAAAGCTATAAAAAAAAATGCTCAAAAAATTATTATACAAAGGTGATTTTCCATATTTTTTTAAAAAAATAGTGGATTTTTTAGCCACCTATATACTATTCACTAAACATACACTTATTTGATAAACACACTTTCTTTCTTTCTTTCTTTCTTTAAGTTATTGTTGTTAAATAATATTTTATTTTAATGTTTCAATAATATTTCAATTTCGATTGGTATTGTCTACTGTTTTAGGTAATATTTATAAATTTCTATTTTGTTCAATTGTGATATATAAATTGGACATTAGTTTTTTTTTTCAATTTATTTTGAAAGAAATTTATTTTGTAAAACTAAATACATATATATATATAAGATATGAATTGTAAAACTTTTTACATATGAAATTTCTTAAATAAAATTTATTTTGCTTTATTGCAATTATCTCTCTTTGCAACATTTACATTATGAGAATACAACACCTTTTATGAATAAAAACTATTAATGCATTCGAAAAAAATTATTTCTAGAAAATTTATTAATTACCAATATCCCTTATATAAAAATATAAATTTCATCGGCAAATTATATTTGCTGTAAAAAAAAAATTATTTAATACTTTTAATATAAACCTATTAAATAACAACGATATTGCTAAACAAGGACTATATCATTCAATCATTGATCACTGTATTTCAAATAAAACTTACTTTCTGGATAACTTTTTACTCTAATTTTATAGTGTAATAATAAAGGCATTTATCGTAAATGAGGGAGTTTTTTAATATAATTCATGTTCTTAAAAAATAAATCTTTTTACATTCACAATTTTTTGAAAGTTGGTTGCTAGAGTAATGATAACTTAAGTTATTCTTTTCAAATATATATGAAGGGAGTGCCAATTATAATTAAAAACGTGGAATTAATAATGTGGAAATATGGCCGACGAGGGTGGTAGAATTAATTTTTAGAGGGATAGATGTAGGTTTTGGAGGTGAGGTGTTCGCCTCCAAATAATTTTCTGTCATGTAGACGCTAAGTTCACCGCTCTATGCAATGTTTTCAGGGAATCAAATTCTTTCGGAAAAATTCTCAAATATTTTTCTATTCGCTTATTCTGATATATTTTCAACATTGTCATAGAGTGGGGTGTTTATATGTGAGATATTGTAGTGACAAGATATATATTAAATATGTCATTAAATTTATAAATAAATCATTTATTAAGATAAATATTTGGCAACAATAACATATATTTTAAAAACAAATCAAATATATATTGACACAAATTAACCGTTTAAAATATCATGGCCAGTTTTAGGTTCCCCAAAAAACCTATTAAGTAGTCATACCTATATTTAAACTTTGCATTTTTTTGACCGTAGAGAGAGATATAATTTTGGTTCGTTAATGTCTAAATCTTTTAGCATAAATGTAGTAAAAATTTGTATGCCAAGGGAAAAAGGATGAAAATAAAGGCCCAACCTAACAATATTTTTATTGGTTTTGAATGCCAATATAAAAAAACAAAATACAAATATAGAAATAATAAATTTATAATATAAATAACTAATTAACACATTAAAATGTATTTGATATTATAAAAATAAGCTTCATTTCATGATTAGGCTAAAAAAAAATTATTCTGCATTTGATATTTTATTTTAAGACATGACTCAATTACACATGCATTTTACTTGATATTCATTTTCTCTCATATATTATTAGGTCTACCTGCTTTGGATAATCATTTCTGGCAAGGAACTGAAGTTGATAGAATTGCTTATATTTAATTTGATAATTTTATAAAAAGAAAGATAGTTATCTGATTTCTAAATATATTTAAATTTTATCGGTGACGACTGAGCTCTGAACCATAACCTGATTGCTAAAAAACGAACCACTAAACCTCTTACCACCATCGTTTCATCTAAACTGAAACTGACTGGTTCGTTGACATTCACCAAACTTTTGTTTTTAACAAGGAGTGCTAAAGATACTATTATACATTTTATTATGATTTCAAGAAAGGGGGCCGTTACATTTCATATTTCTCATTTAGCTTTTTTTTTGTTGCCAGTATAGATTTTCAACTTGCCGGCCATATTTTAGATGAGAATGCATCTAACTCTTGATATATTTTATTCTCTTTTCATATTTATTTACACTACAATTGAAAAATGGTTTAAAATCATTTTCATATAATATTTTGTAAAATACTAAATAGAATAAAAATTAATAACAATCATAAAATTATAAGAGTTATTGAAGATTAATTAAATTTTACTTACTAAGGTATATGCATAATATTTTAGGTAAAAATAATATAATAAAATGAAACTAAACAAATTGTATTTTTAATATCGAATAAATATAATGTCAAGGACATTGCTGATTTTTTTTGTTTGGACAGGGCATACTATTATTATAAGTAAGAAAGAGTTTATTGGCTTAAAAGCTAGACAATTTAGTAAAAATTAATTTGATTATAATTTATAATCACTTTTTGGCTAAAAATTTATATAAATTATCAATTTTTAAAAAAATATTTATCTAAAAATGTAGAAATACCATATTATTTGGAGAAAACATTGACTTCAATACAATTATTCAAAACAAAAGATGATGAAAATTAATGCAATTTTCTGACAGTCAAGGACATTAGAAACTACTTAAAAAGAGCAAAATATTTTGGAAAATTTTAGTTACAAAAATAATTATTTCGTTACATTTGATATACTTTACTGGTTTAACTTATTAATAACTTATAAAAATGTTACAAATTAATTCACTATTCATATGGGTATGTGTTATATTTTAAAAAAAATAAATTTGAATTACATAAATGTTTTATAAATATTATTATTCATAATGACAATTCAGATACTAATTGCTTTCGCATTCATTTCCTCGTCGATAACACAATGCAGTGCAACTGAAAGTATATCTATTATAAATTATTCTAAATGAATCTATTATTGAATTTTACTTTTGAAATTTATTTATTAAATCTTTTGCGATCAAAACAGAATCTTAATTATTAATTTAAAAAAAATTCTAGATCTTTCTTGTGCTTCTAACATAAAAATGTTTTTTTGTTATATTATTTTTGGTCACTTTTTATTCAAATCTGTCAATAATATTGGATTAATCTTAATAAATAAAGCATCTTTTAAATCTGCCAATATCTCATGTTTCATTTTATGATTTTTATGCTAAGTTTAAATCTTATAAAAGTCAATGAGATTTGAACTGACAAGACATAATTTCTCACACATTCTATTCATAACGCGCCACAATTGTGAATTTAACAAAAAAACTTATTCAGGAACAATGGAATATAGCCTTTACAACTTGATGAAACTTATTTAAAAAAATGGAAATTTTATTTAAAAATAAAAATAAGGGAAATTCTAATTAATACATAAGTGTTAGAATTTAAAACTTACTAATCATTATAATTTAGCGTAAAAATAAATCTAGATTCAGACAATGTCAGGCAAGCTAGATTTGCTACGTCTTGGGGCCAATGACATATATAATACCTAGACTGACGATTCATTCATTAAAATGCATTTTTAAGCGTCGTTAAAAGCAAATCAGCTGGACCCGCCATTTTGGTAACACATATAGTAATAATTGTCATGTTAAAAACTAATATTAAATTGATAACTTGCTTCCTTATTATCTCGATGATACGGTAATTCTTTAATAAAGTTTGCATCTGATATAGGAATAAATTAGGCTCTCCTTCAAAATTTAATAATGATTAATGTAACCAAGATGGCATCTCCAGCTCATTTGTATTGATGTACACTTTTAATGAATGAATCGTCAGTCGTATTATTTATGTCATTGCTTGGGGCCCGGTTATTAGACATGGTTAGCATTTATTATAATTTTAATAATATCTTTCATAATTTTAATTAAAAATATATAATTCAGAACCCCACGTGATTCAGAACCTTTCTACTTCTGACAGGGTTTGGGGAAGAATTCTTGATAGATAGCTGTCATTTCAAGACATGGGCAAGCTTTCGATAATAATTTAAGCAATTATGGGGAAATGAACAAAATTTTTTTATTTATTATATTTTATCAAATATATATTTTTTTAAAGAATATAATAAAAATAAGTCTTAATTTTAATTATTTTAACAGTTAAATACATTTTATCTATGATATTATTTTTACATTTCTAGTCGCTTCTATATAACAATTAAAAAGAATAATGTTAATATTTATTTCTAAAAGATATATCAGTAAATTCTACTTTTCATTAAAGCAATTCAAAATAATCTTCATCATTTCTTCATTGGTATTTCCCTTGTTTTTTCCCGCTATTCTTAGAAAAATGATGCATAATTGGACTTAAATCTCCAAAATAAAAATCCGATTTCTAATTGAGCGTGAATTTTTTAACGATAAAAGTCATTACTTTTTACTAAAGTTTTGGTTAATCAACAACCTAATATTTTACTAAATATTATCAGCTTATGCGTATCTTATTCACCATAATCAGATCAATAAGGCTGTATTATCTCTCGCATCCCCTTAAAATAAAAGTTAAAGGTAAATCTTTAATAAGAATTTAATTACAACATCAACATATTATCTAACAATAAATATATATTCGTCTTAGTGTCTAATCCTTATTCTCCGAATATTTTAAATTATCGTATCTTTTAAGTAAACTATTTGTATTCCAGTGTTTGCTATTAATCTTGGCATATTTTAAATTATATGTTATATAAAAATAACGATGGTAAGAATAACGGTTTTAAGTTATAATTATTATATTATAAAAAAAAATGATACTAAAAATAAATATAAAATAAGGTATATATATATATATTATAAAAAAACAATTTAAACGAAATATATATTTTAAGGCTATAATAACAATTTTAGTTAAATAAAAAAATCAATCAATCAACATTCCCCTTCTTCTGAAAAGCCTTCCCATGATCCATCTGAGCTATCATAGAAAATATGTCGTTCCAATGGTTGTTCATTTTGATTGTTCAAGTCGTTCATAAGTCATTGTAGTCGTTGGCTTGATTCTCTCACGTTGGTTTGTAAATATCGTTTTGAGTACGCTGGCTCATCGTCAAGCTCCTTCGTTATCATTGTCAATTTTACAAAATTGTTATTATCACCATTGTAAAATTATCATTATTAAATACGATTTCAGAATATATGAATAATTAGAGAATTGATCAAATATGGATGTTAGAATAATAAAAGGATGATAAATCAACAAGATTGTTAGATAATATTTTTAGCGTTTTTATTTTTTATTTTTATTTTGCGTTTTAGTCTTTAATTTATTTTTACATGTTTTAGTATTTAATTTATTTTTACATGTTTTAATATACTAAGTTATATAATCTTTTAGTAAACACGTTTTTGTCTACTTCGTATCGGTCTTGGAGTCGGTATTACAATATTTTTATCAATAGTTTTAATATTTTTGTCCTCACTTCCGTCCTTCTTAGGAGAGTCATGGTATGCATAGTATAGCATTCTCTCTTTTATATTTGGTCCAGGTGTTTCCTTGTAATACCTTTTTCTGTATAGACTTGGAACATAGTGTCGCTTTCCTTCAAATTAATTGTCCCACGTGTCATTCCCTTGCACTTTATACCAAACAAAATCTCCTGTATTGAAAGTTCTATTTCGTGATAAAGTAATGTTTATTTTATTCTCCTTGTCCACAAACGGTCTCAATAAGTACCATTTCACTCTCATATCACGGTTGAACATCCTCTTAGACGGTGTAACTCCTGTAATGTCATTACGCGTATTTCTGTAATTAAATAAAAATTTGAAGTGCAATGTCTGTCAATTTTGATATTCCTTTTCATATGTGTTTTGAACGTTCTTACCTTGCGCTCTACCTGGCAATTGAATTGTTGATGATAAGCAGATGTGAGCACATGTTTGATACCATAATCACTGCAAAATTTTTCAAAATCACTACTTGTGAAGTTAGTGCCTTTATCGGTAACTATAGTTTCGGGTATTCCATATAACGAAATAGTTTTAAAATTTTCTTTTAAAGTAACATCGGTCGTAATATTTTTAACAGGAACAATGATTGGAAACTTACTGTAAGCATCGACTATTGTCAACCAATTTCTTGTAAAGAATGGACCCACATAGTCTATGTGTATCCTTTCAAATGGCTTGGTTGCCGAAACCGAAGGTTTTTGTTTTAAAATAATATAATTATAACTTAAAACCGTTATTGTTATATAACATGGTGGCCCGGAAAGATAACTTACAATGATATATAAAAAAATCTCACATATATTGTGCATATCCCGATAAATATAAAAAAATAAAATTTTTTTTTGTAATTATGTAATAAATTATAAATATTATTCAGGACACACAAGGTAAAAAAAAAATTTTTCTTTATGCTAATGTAATTTAAGTTTTAAAAATAAAAATTTGCAATTTAGAAAAAAAATGAATATGTAATGGTGACAATATGTATCTTTGCTAATTTAAATAAGTTTTTAAAATAAAAATCTGCATTATGGATGATAAAATTAGCATATCCTCCAACAGGGAAGTTAAGTTCCCAAAGTTGGAGGGACCCTTGACGGACATATACTTAGTAAAGACTTGACGATTATTTCTCTCAAACAATTTTATCCGACTCAGTAAAAATTGAAACATTGATGAGCAATTTATCTGATGACCTATACGATAAAATTAAGTCATTATGTACTAAGGAAGATATCAAAGATTATAAAATTATTATTAAAAAAATTAAAATTTTTATTACCCAGTCAAGATGTTTGGATATTGACTGGGAAGTTTAATCTTGCTTCACAAGGTATTAATGAATCTTTTTTGGATTGGTTTTTTAGATTGTCTAAATTAAGTAGACAATGTAATTTTATTAATGATGAGCGCATAAAAGAAATATTGAGAACATCTAGTGTAAATGACAATATAAAAAATAAATTAAATAAAAATATTAACTACACATTAGATGAAATGATTGAAATGGTAAGAAAATTAGATAGTATTAACAATCAGAAATTGACAATGTTAATTATGTTTGTAGGGATAAAAAATAATAAAAATAGTGACAATAATAGAAATAATGATAAGAATAGATACCCAAAGTATTTCTAATAGGAATGAGATTAATAGTAACTATAATAGACCTAATTATTATTCGAGGCAAAATTTTGATAGTAGGAATAGAAATCATGTTGATAACAATTTTAGTAATATTAACGACAACAGGAATAAGAATTTTAGTAACGTTAGAAACAATAACAATTATAATAATAACAACTATAGAAATGATCAGTATAATAATAGTAACTATCAAAATTACAATTATCGGTATAACAACAGCAACAGAAACTTTCATAATAATAATCATCAATCTTATAACAACAACTATGGTAGGAACAACGCCTGGTTTAATTATAATCAGAGGAGGCAGATTCAATGTGACGATCAAAATCATAATAATTACCGATCTTACAACAACAATTCAAGTTAAGAAGGAAACAACAGGTGGCATAATAATGATAACCAAAGAAAACAAATCGAATATGACGATCGTAATCGGAAGGATTTTAACCAAAGAAAAGAAATCGAATATGACGATAATAGGTGGAAGGATTTTAATTAAAGAAAACAAATCCAGTATGCTAATCAAAACTTCTACCATAGTAATAATTGTAATATGAACATTGAAGAAATTGGGGAAAATAAAGTTGACACTGCCAAAGATAATAATGAGAATAATTTCAATGTCAACAACCTGGCTGAAAATACAGACAAAGATGATAACAGTGCTTTTATGACTACTTTGAGATTTAATAATATTACTACTATGCAGGTCGACACTGGATCAAAATTTAGCGTCATACCTCATGATATGGCTAAAAAAAATTGGTATAAGAGAAATGAAGAAATCCAGTTTGCGGCTTACAGCCTACGACGAAAACTTGATTAAAATCATCGGGACAACTCAGGTTAAAGTAAGTTATGAAGGAATCACTAAATATTTACTAGCAGTAGTTGTATAGTCGAGAAAGAACGCATTATTAGGAAGAATCTGGATCAATGTTCATAGGAAATATCGATATCAATTATGAAGACTAAATCAATAAACTTATTAAAGATTGTGAATCCAAATTTACTAGCGAACCAATTAACAAAGTAAATATCAAATTACATTTAAGATGTGACGCCCAACCTAAAATAATACCACCAAGACGTATACCGTATTCAAAGATTGATCTTGTTGGCGAAGAACTGAAAAGATGGATACACGAAAAAATTATTCAGCCTGTAAATGACGTGCGATGAGCTAGTCCTATAACCGCCGTATATAAAGATGATGGGAGTATCAGGCTTTGCGCAGATTTTAAAGACACTATAAAACCAGCTCTCGAAGACCTTAGATACCCACTTCCACACGTATAAATGATCTTAAAGCTAAACTTTCAGAAGGAAAATAATTTACCAAAATCGATTTCAAAAATGCTTTTCTACAAGTTCCGATCGATAAAAATAGCAGAAAGTTTTGAATATATCTACACATATGGGATATTGCCAATTTACCAGTTTCTTTTGGGTTGAAAACTTCATTTGCTATATTCCAACAAATCATGGATCAGATTTTCGGTGATATGAAAGATGTCATATTTTATATTGATGACTTATTAATAACTGGAAATAACGATGAAGCACATTTTAACAACATCAAAAAGGTCTTTGAGAGAATATTATCGTACGGGTTAGTAACTAACTTCGCCAAAAGTTTATTTTTTAAAAACAAAGTTAAGTTCCTAAGTCACGATATAGATGATAAGGGAATTCATGCTAACCGTGATAAAATAGAAGCAATAATTAAAATGCCAGAACCAAAATTAGGTGCTGTATTGTCAACATTTCTTGGAATGGCTGGTTATTATTGAAAATTTTTGAATAACTTCGCTGATATTGCTGATTCGTTGTACAAAATGGTCAACAAAGAAAGATGGAAATGGAACTTAGAACATTCCAGAAGTTTTAATGATTTAAAGAAGTTGATTAGTGTTCCGCCAGCACGTATTTTAATCCGGAATTACCTTTTGGGATTGCGACTGATGCATCCAAATCTGGATTAG